ATCATTTTCGATCTAACTCCAATGTTTTCAGTGAAAAAATGCGTTTTTAGCCCACAAATAAGCTAATTCGAGCAAAAAAAGCTAAAATAACAGCAGTTTTATTCTGATTTGGTGATTTTTTGGCTTATTTTCACAATAAAACTGAGTTTTTACCTTAAAAACGCTCAATGTTTGAAGAAAGATAAAAACAACATGATTTTTGGTTTGAGCGAAATTTGCATTTCTGACTGAAAAACATTTGAAAAAGTCAAAAATAATGTAATTTTTGACTTAAATTGTTTACTTTTCGTCTTATTTTGACAAAATCTCACCCAAAAACGAGCTAAATCGAGCAAAATTGACTTAAATAACATTAATTTCAATCTAATTTGGTGTATCTTCGGTTTGTTTTAACGTTTTAAAACGATTGAAAAAGGTAAAATGTCATTTTCTCATGAGTAGATATCAGTTTTTACATTAAAATCTTTTGAAAAATTTGGGTTTCGGCCTTAAACGTTTTTTGTTTCATCTACAATGAATCTTTTATGTCACTTCACTGTGAAACAGGCTTTAACGTCAAATTTGACACTTTAAACGTCAAAATGACATATGAGGTTACCAACTAAAGGCCGTTTTACATTTGTAATATGTCAATATTTATTTTTGTTCTATTTAATGTGAAAATGTGTGGTGAACAATCAAACTCAGTAAATAAATTAATTATATTTGAATTTTCTACAATAAATTAAACCACCCTCTGGAATGAAGTTGCAACAAAAGTCACACAAATGTCAGTATCACAAACTTTCTTTTTTCATTAAAGTTCATTATGTGAATCTTTCTCACTCTCAGTTGGTTTAATTTCTTCTTCAGTGGTATTCCCCGACGCCTCAACACTTTCTTCTTGCTTCTCTTCCTTCTTCTCAACTTTCTTCGGCCTCCACAATCTATGTTTATTAACCAAATATTTAACTTCTCGATCAATCGCTCCCATCTTTTCCGTTATTGACTTAACAGTCAATTTAACACTTTCATACTTTTTCAGTTTATTTTGTTCCTCAATCATCTTCATTTTCCACTCTTCAGTCTCTTTGATTATCTTCTCCAAACCCTCAATTTCAGCATCGGTGAAAACATCCTTTTCAGGATTCACACTTTTAGTTAAATTTTTTGCAACTTGAAGAAAATGACTCGATTGATTCAACATCGAATTCAAGGCATTTAACGCTTCGGGACGCTCATTATGTTCCCAAACTCGTTTAAACAAATCATTTGTTAACACTTTCAAACTTTCTAATTTCTTCTCATAGGTGGCAGCATCCGCATCTGAACCATCCTCATACAACCAATCAGAGACTTCCACGCAAGATTTTCGAATCATCTCGATTTCGTTTTCACTCGCCGATGATTTAAAATCATCCTCATGTAATTTATTCTGAACATCGATTACAAAACTCTCGAGATTATTTAATGCAGTAGCGCGACGATTCAACTCTTTTTCGACCTTATCCAACTTTGATAATTTCTCCAAAGACGCGTCAAATTGCGTTTTTGTGAGTGGAATTGGGTGTTTTTGCCTCGCTTCGATCGGCTCCTTGACTGTGATTATTTTCGGTTTGATTTCTTTTGGGACATTTGTTGTGTTTTTATCCTCAGATTCAGTCTCATTTTTACCACCTTCTTCACCACCAAATAATTTACTAATTGTACTACCAAGTTTCGACAATGTACCTTCATCATCATCAGTCACAATTTTCTCAACCACTAACTCAACATTGATCAAATTTAAAATCCCTGATTCGTCCATTGAAAAGTGTGCTTTGATACCTTTTGTTTCACTATTATCACCCGTGTTTTTTTTCATCACGTCAGCAATGCCAACTAGACTGACATGACTCAAATTCAATTGACCCAAATAATCGATTTCTTCACGTTTTAAATAATCCAAATCGGCATAATTAACATCAAAATCAAAATCTGAATTATATTTATTAAACGTAATGATTTTTTTCTGCGGGTATGGATTCATTAAACTAAATAGAGTCCTTTTAACTTGTTTAGTACCATCGGGGGTTTCCCGTTCAAAAACCACCTGAATCGGGTAAAGTACCGCATCTTTAGTCAAAAATTTCTTCACTTGAAACCCAGTACTTAAATCAGCTGCTTTATAAACAGCCCCCATTGTGGCAGCTTCATCAGTATTTAAATTCTTACTCAAATTTTGACCGACAATTTTTTGCAAAATCTCTTGTACTTTAGGTACACGCGTTCCAGCGCCAACTAATACAACTTGTCCGATTATATCTTTAGTCAAGTGTGCTGTTTTCAACGCCATCTCGATCGGTTTTCCAACACGTTCAAATAAATCCTTAATTAAATCCTCGAGTTGATCACGTGTTACTAAAACTTTAAAATCCTCCTCATCTAATAAACCTTCAATTTGTGCATAATGTTCAGCATTAGCCGATAAAACAGTTTTCACTCTTCCAGCTTCTTTAAATAATTTCGCCATGGCACGTGAATTACCAAAAACATCATTTGGGGTTTTTTTAATTTCGTTAAATTTTCGTGCTAAATAATCTCTGAGACGTAATTGAATTTCTAAGCCACCAAGAGTGCGATCAAAACCGACCCCAATCACCCCCAATTGGGGGTGTGTCTCACCCAAACCCTTCTCTTTACTTTTAACAGTTTGATAACTGACAAGAGTGGCAGTGGTTGAAGTGGCCCCCATGTCATAAAACATCACATATTGAGCCGTTTCATTGAAATCTTTACTTCGAAAAATGCCATAATTGAGCGCCACTGCTGTATAATCATTAATCAATTGGAGGACTTTAAGTCCGGCTAAATTCGCCGCTTGAAGTAACGATTTTCGCTCAATTTGGTTAAAATACCCCGGGACTGTGAGGACACACTCTTTGATGGGTTGACGGGCCCCCTGCTCGGCAAACTCCTTCGCTTTGCCCAACAATTGAGCGATGAGTTCCTCAACACTGTAGAATTCGTTTTCGTCGTGTTTGAAGAGGATTGTGCCCCGATTCGGGTCGTCGACTATCTCATAATAGGGGAATCTCGCTTTGTACAGTTGGACTAGGGGGTGAGTGGTGTTTTTCCCCAATAAATCGAGCAAATACATGTAGGCGTTTTTGGGGAACCGGATGCCAATTGTTTGGGCTTCTTCACCGAAGGAGCGCACGTTGGCGCGGAAACTGATCACAGCGGGGGTTTTGCGTTTTGATTCCTTGTTCAAAGCGATTTCCATGGGGACTCCGGGGGAGACAATCCCGATTTTCATCCATTCGGAGCCCAAATCGACCGACATCACGGCCAAACTTGCACAATGTTGTGAGAGACTAACAATACAGCAGAGAATCACAATTGGGAGCTTCATTTTTGCCTGAAATAGCGTTCAATGAGACAATGCCGATAATTTGAGGTTAGGTTAAAATTGTGACTTAAATGACGAGAAATTTAGGGGAAATTCACTCACCTGGGTTTCGGAACGTCTAATGAAGATACATATGATTGAGTAGTTTGAAATTAATTAGTTTTTTACTTGTTTTGTGGTTTTATCCACGTCAGTTATACCATGTGTCACAAACAGCTGTTTTTCATCAAGCGAGTTGATTGTACTGTGGCGATTTGTGATTGGTTGATCCGAATCAGGGAGAATTTTTTACGTTTTGAATAAATCAAAGTCCAATTCGATTAAAAAACAAACACCGGATTTTTTGTTAGTTTCTTTTCCTTTAGAAATCAAATTTTTCGTGTGTTTCTCTTACGAAAAAATTTTTTTTTACAGAGTCCTGTAATTTCGCTTTTTGCAATTTTTGAGTTTAAGTTGTGTCAACATGCTTGAAAGAAGTTTTTTGATTATAATTGATTAAAACAATGTTGTTTCTTTGTATTTTTCGTACTTTTTAAAGCCGGAACCCTGATTACGATTATTATTAAAAACCGTAACCGTAATCACGATTATGATTAGTATTTTTTTTAAACTTTAGTTTTATTGTTTTTAACGAGAATTTGTTATATAACGGGTTTTTAGTTAGTTTCCTTTATAAACCAAATTTTTCTTGGGCTTTTCTCACAAAAACAATTGTTTTTTCAGAGACTTGTAATCATTTTTTATCAATTTTTGAGTTTAAATTGTGTTAACAAGCTTAAAAGAAGTTTCTAAATTAAAACATTGTTGTTTTTTGTATTTTTTTTAGAATTAAAATTCGTCACCGCAATTACGATTATTATTAAAGATCGTAACCGTAATTACGATTATTATTAAAAACCGTAACCGTAATTACGATTATGATTAGTATTTTTTTTCAATGTTTAGGTTTATTGTTACTTATGGGAATTTGTTATATAACAAATTTTTAGTTACTTTCCTTTATAAAACAATTTTTTCTTGTCTTCGCCTTAAAAAAACATTTTTTTACAGAGACCTGTAATCTCGCTTTTTGCAATTTTTGAGTTTAAGTTGTGTCAACACGCTTAAAAGAAGTTTTTTGATTATAATTGATTAAAACAATGTTGTTTCTTTGTATTTTTCGTACTTTTTAAAGCCGGAACCCTGATTACGATTGTTATTAAAAATCGTAACCGTAATCACGATAGATTAGTATTTTTTTTTAACTGTAGTTTTATTGTTATTAACGGGAATTTGTTATATAACGGGTTTTTAGTTAGTTTTCTTTACAAATCCAATTTTTCTTGGCCTTTTCTTACAAAAACAATTTTATTTTACAGAGACCTGTAATA